AAGCTAACAGCTTGCACATAAACAGAGATAAAGATTTGCTTTTTCAAATTTTCAAATCTAACTTCATTCATAATGTCTGTCAGCTAAACACAAAATAGGCATAACATAAAAAATACAAATCAAAACACAAAAAACTGACTGAAAGCAACGTTATTCTCACTTTCTATTACACAACTAGTTTTTACTTCACATATAGTGGAATAAAACAGACAATAACTGAACATTATTCATTCATTGTTGGTGATAGCAAACCGTTTGTAATGATGATTCATTTGTTAATGACCCAAATCTATTTATTTTTTACCGCAGGTTTGCGGAGGCCCCTTTTCCACTAGTGCCACTTAGTGCAGTGTCGGTACGGTTCCAAGCCTTTTCCATTAGGCCAGATCCATGGAACCGGCAATTTTTTTAGTACCTACTTCATTGTGGTTCCAACCGGCCCCAGCTGACACCAAAATGCAACGTCAGAACACTGTTCGTCACTGATTGGCTAAATTTTTGCAAATGTTTAAAATTTCAAAAGTTATTCGTCAAATGTGTTTCCATCTCTCATTTTGCCCATTCATTTTTATTCAAAATACCTAAAAACCACCTCCACCAACCGCCCAAAACACACCCATTGGAACCGGACTGGAACATAAGTGGAAAACCATGCGGTCCGACCCATACCTACACCGACCGTTCTGACACTACATTAAGTGGCACTAGTGGAAAAGGGGCTAATATGTCTAGGGCTAGGAAGGTAACTCAGACATCCCCTCTTCCACACTGTCCAGCCCCTTCTGAGGAATCCTAAGATGCTTCCAGGCCAGAGAGAATCAGAATCCTTCCAGCAACTCCTGGTTCTGCCCTGGGGTCGTGCACGAGAAGTAAGGATAGAGCACAAGACGCTCGATCCATCTTAGTTGACTCCTATTGATGCCGAGGATCAGCGGCTTTACTTGGAGCTACCCTCAAAGTGAGGCATGAATATTTCAGCCAAATTGAAACATGAATTTATCAATAGCTGTGTTTCCATTGCAAATGTGCGCAAAACTTTGTTGATATTATATTTAATGTCGAAAAAACACAGTTTCGCAATTGCGGTGTTTCCATTAAGTAAGAAATGCTATTAAAGTCACGCGTGAATACGTTTGTTCTCATGATGTCATTACAAACATGGCGGAAATGGATGTAAACACATGCATGTTACAACCACGACGCTAGCGCTCATCATCAGCCATCAGAGGAGATGTTGGCGTCTCATCGAGGCTTTCGAGCGACAAGCCCCTTATACTTGGGAGCGGCTAYGTATGCTGCATTTTTGGGAAATTGTAGTCGGTGACTTTCTTTTACAACTTTGGTGATTTTACTACTACTTATACTTCCTGTTGTTTTCTTTTTTGCCAGTAGAAACAGCCAGTTCAGAAACGTGACTCCCGTGATGTGAAAAAAGTGTTTCCATTGCAGTTTTGCAAAATACACCAATTTCGATACGGCCGAAAAACCACCTCACCCTAGCACAAAACCATTTTGTCGAAAAACGTACGTTTTTTCTAAACTGACGTTTCCTTTGAGCAATTTTTATTTTTGAAATTGTAATTTGCATATTTTCATGGTCAATGGAAACGCACCTAATTACTTGTTCAGGTTCTTTCCTATGTGTATAGCCATGTCATCCGCATACATTGACATACAGTGCTTTCTTTATAATTGTAAATCCATTTAATCAAAACTTGGGGCTTGTGTTGATTTATTACTTTAAATCAGTTTCCACCCAATATATTATACTATTTATTTTTTACTTTATAGACTTACTATTTAATTATAGCTTTTATAGAAAATGTCTTCAAAAGTCTTCAATTATGCCAGTTAAACTGATTTTGAAGATTACAAAGTGATTTGCTATTGTAACAAAACTGTTCAATAAGATAATAACTACCAGAGGGTCATAAATGTTCTGCTTGTTCAGCATGACTTAAAGTGCAGTGAAAAAAACCTACTGCCAGTCAAACAGACAACTCAAGTGTCATGTTTTATATATAGCCAGGCAGCTGGCGGAAAACTTGCCAACACAACCAGCCGTTACAAACGTTCAGGCCGTTTCCCCAAGGAGCACATTAATGCACAAATCTCTCAAGAGTGAGAAACTCCACATGGGTTTTACGCACAAACTCATTCAATGTTTCTTATTCTCAGTTTTATTAGTAAATAGGTGATAATTCCCTGTTCACACATTTGGATTACACTGCAAACAAGTCTTCTCAGGCATTTGTTACAATCAATATGACATGTAGTAAAAAGCTAAATATGGTAACTATACACAGCTGATGGATACTGCAGATGGTGTACAGAGAGATTTTTGTTCATACAAATATGAAAAAACAAACACAGATATGAATTTGTATGCAACATGATGATATATCTACACTGTAAAAATATACATAATGTAGGTTTAGATTCCCAGGGCCAGCCCAAGATTTTTGATGTTTTCTAAATGTCATGCCTTTTGTTTTCAAAAATGTGAGAAAATGTGTTATACTGTACAAACCTTCATGAAATCATAGCATATATATTTTTAAATGGGTAAATTCAATGTGTAYTGTGGTAAAACAGCTTTGGCACCACCATCTTTGTAACAGTAAGAAACGAGCAATAACCTAAAACAACATCAAGAGACTAAGTTCAGACATTTTAGAGGAYAATTTTATCGAGTGACTCCACAAAAGAATAATAATAGACTGCAGACACAGTGGTATTAATATAAGCTAATTAACACAAATGGTCAAAGTGCAGCTTATAATGTCCTAAAGTGCGATCCCTTTTTATTTTCTTAGAGCAGAAATAAAGACCAGCTGAAGGTGGTGTCACAATGTGAAGCTGGATGAGTTACTGAAAACGGAAAAGAAATATTTCTTTTATTTTCATAGACACAGTTGGCTCTCTTGCACTTTTTAATTCAGCTAATCCAGGTCTTAGGAACACAGTCATCTAATTATCATTAAATGTGACTAATAATTACCACAAACTGGAGGCTGCGAGGATAAGATCCAAGTCRAGTTTAGAGTAAAAACATTACCAAATTACTGAGCGCTACTTTGAAAACAAAACATCAATAATTTTTCCATAGAGGATGATTTAGAAGTTTATACTAGTATAAAAGAAAGATGCATATTTTGTTTTAAACCAAATTTTAAAAAATGATTTGTACACTGTAACTTGGTAAAAGAAAAAAAAGTTTTAAATAAAAAAGAAAAAAAAGTGTATAGGTCTTCTGGACGGGTTCTTCTCTAATGAAACGTTTCGTCTCTCCTCCAAGAGACTTCTTCAACCTACTTCACGTACGGGGGCAATATTATAGGCAGAAACATGGGTGTGCCATGGGATCCCCAGTTTCTAACCTGTACATGGAGGAAGTGGAAAAGAGAGCCTTGATGTCCTTTTCAGGGGTGCCACCGAGCCATTGGTTTAGATATGTTGACGACACCTGGGTTAAAATTAAAGCCCAGGAAGTCCAACATTTCACTGATCACATCAACTCTGTGGATGAATATATAAAGTTCACACGAGAGGATGTAAAAAATGGCAGGTTGGCGTTCCTGGATTGCGATGTCTCTGTTTTGGATGGAGAACAGTTGGAGACTGGCGTATATCGTAAGCCCACCCACACAGACCAATATTTGCGTTTTGACTCCCACCACCCACTGGAACACAAGTTAGGAGTGACCAGGACTCTGTACCACAGAGCAAACAGTGTCCCTACAAACCCAGGAGCCAGGGAGAAAGAGAAATCACACACACGACAGGCCCTGGAGCAGTATGGTTATCCTGACTGGGCTTTCCTGAAAGCAGACAGGAAACAGACAGGATTCCATGCAACCTTCAGGTGAAAATGAAGACCCCAAACCCAGACCCAAACCAGTGGTTATTCCGTATGTTGCGGGTGTTTCGGAGAAACTGAGACGTTTATTTTCTAAACATGATGTCCCAGTGGCTTTCAAACCCCAAACCACATTACGGCAAAGGCTGGTTCACCCCAAAGATCCGGTGCCCCGGCACAAACAGAGCAATGTTGTATATGCTGTTAAGTGCCAGGAGGACTGCGACCAGTTATACATCGGGGAAACAAAGCARCCACTGTTCAAAAGAATGTCCCAACACAGACGAGCTACATCTAATGGCCAGAACTCTGCAGTTTTCTCTCAATTACAGGCCAGTGGTCACTCTTTCAGAGATGAGGATGTTCTCATTCTTGATAGAGGAACGTTGGTTTGAGAGAGGAATAAAAGAAGCCATTTTTGTGAAGAAAGACCRTCCATCATTAAACAGAGGTGGAGGCCTCCGTTTTCAGTTGTCCCCCTCCTACAGCGCTGCTATTGCCAGTATCACTCCACCCCCTGTTAACAATAAGTGTTAATTAGGTGTCAACGATAGCCATGTGAGTATCAGTCACATGGAAGCAGTGCTTAAAAGCCTGAATTTTGCCTGAAACTCTCAGATAGAAGAAGTCTCTTGGAGGAGAGACGAAACGTTTCATTAGAGAAGAACCCATCCAGAAGACCTATACAATTTTTTTCTTTTTGATTTTTTACCTGGATTACTGAGATGCATCAGGACTTTTTTAAATAACAGTGTTGGCCCACACGTCAGTCACACTTATCCAGTTAAAGAATGTGAAACTGTGAATRCAACCACAATTAAAGCAAGCAGCAGGGACCTTGAGTTAACCACAAATAAAGCACAAATAATGAATAAAAGAAAATCGGAACACAGACTCTGGAACAAAGGCGCTACAGTGTTTCAGTGCAGATTTGGTACGGAGGTTCAGGAACAGACCAGCATGTCGACACTTCTGATTTTCCACCTATAAAACCTGCTAATGTGGGATTTGAGTTTTAAAATACGAGTTTCCTCAAAAATTAAAGTTTACTTTCCACATCTCATGGATTTCATCACAAGCCAAGTATTTAAAAGAAAAAAAACCTTAATGTGTGTGCTGGTGTTGAGGAAGGGTGAAAATGTTTCTGAGACAAACTGGCAAAAATCACCCATCTCTATTTAACTGTATGCAACTTCACAGCAGAAAACTAATAATTTTTTTTAACATAGTGTGCATCAAGGGCACAATAATCACAAGCCTGTGGGAATACATTGTCGTGATTGTAAGAGGAAATGGGAAACAGATAAGTAGATGGCAGCATTAGTGTACAATAATTAACAGCCACTGTTTTAAGCTCTAGTTAAACATTGGGAGATGTTCCCAGAAAAGTCCTTCAGATCACAGAGGTATAATTACAATAATAAGGTATTATTCACAAGAGCTTTGTGTGTGCCAATCAGAACATCAGAACAAAAAGAGGAAAAACAACAAAGCTCTCAATTAAAAGAAAATTTTGATAAACATGACCATTTACTCCCTGGCATACTCCAGATTTTTAATTTTTTTTGGTTAATTTCACCTAAAAGCAGGATATTATTACCTGCAGTCAAAAAACAAAAGCGGACAATGTTTTTGCTTATGGCAGTTGTTGCATTAGCTCATGAACCACTAGACAATATTTTATGCAGACAATAATCRTTTGATGAACATCTACAACTGATTCTCTTTTGACATCAATCGGAGGTGGCTGTCATAGCCAACTGACATTAAAAACACACACAAAATCTTATAGCTAAATCTACTTTAGACATTGACCTAAACTTTGGTGTGGTAGTAGCTGAGACCGATCCCCATCACACAATCTGAGCTGCAACAGTTCAATGTTTGTTTGCCCAACGACCTTAGAAAGCCCAACATGCATCTCTTCAAGGAATSCTAACTTCATGTTAACCCATGCAAACGTGTCTCTAGCTAAACATTTAACCCCCAGATATCAGAGTAACATTAACTTTTAGAAACTATAYCCTCCACACATTTTTCATTTCTGCACTGTTTCCTGCATGATTATGGTTTATATTCAAACAGTTTTGTGGTTTTTGGCTGGTTCAAAGCAGCAATCATACAGCTGAAGTTAAATTAGGCATTCGCAATCCTCTATTGGATGGTGACATGTTCTTCTCTCTTCAAAGTCTTCAATAAATYAGTGAGCAAACACTACTAGTAAATTGATTCCTTCATGAAGTCAAAAAAATGTTCTGAGATGTCTTGCAAAAGAAAAAAAGGCAATAACTTAAAATCTATCAAAATAAATGGATTTGATCAAATCACTTCAATTACTTTTTTGGTTGAAAGATAGTAGAATTGTACAAATGTACACTTATAAATACTTCTGATGCTGATGCTTACTGAGAAGCCTGGAAAACTTCACATACAGAGTTCATAAAAGAACAAAAGGAGGAATTTAGTCAGTTCTCAGTCAACCTGAAGTATTTCTTCACGATTTCTTTTAAAAGTCACATGTAGAATTGCCACCGTTGGGTGCCATTAAAAAAAGGATTTGCTGCTGCTGTCAGAGACGCACTGCTGCAACCAGATGCGGGCAGTTACAGGGTTCAGGAAAGTGTGTATGACRTCTTTAAGCCGAAGCAAATGAAAAGCACGGGGCTAAGAGTGAGGGTCRGGTCACAGGTCATGTTGAGTTCAGTCACCAGCATTATCAGCAGCATGTCCTGCGAGACTCTGAGGCCTGCCGTCCCAATTTGAAACTTTTTCCTGAGGGTCCTCCTGCTGCATCAATAACGGGGATCCGCTTACCTACAAGAATGAGCACAAATACACTTTGATTCCCTTCAGCAATTAGTTTCTCTTATCTCTATGCTCATGTCAATCGGTGACTTTGGGAATTTGTTTTACTTTTACTTAATCAAATTAAGTAAATTGSACTTTACTTCAACGTATGCAACAACTTCAATATATTCAACAAATATTCATGTACTGTTAAATCATGTTCTGGATTCACATAAATTAAAAATCTTGACATTTTAAAACAAATTCTTATAATGAATGCAGAAAAAAACATTCTATAAATACAAAATGATTGCTTAATTTGCCAGGGTGGTTAAAAAGGAGTTGGGAATGTTCAGGTGAGCGGCACCAAGAACGACTCAGGAAACACACTCACTTATCTCCGTAAACACCTCGTTGATGTTAATGGCATTCTTGGCGCTGGTTTCCACAAAGATGGCATGGATAGAGTCAGCATAGTCCTTGGCATCCTTTTCTGGCACTTCCCTGTAAATATAACTAATATATTAAGCATATCATGCTGCCAGATGTGAACAAGATTCTCTCAATTATGTTCTTGTACAGATATATTATTGAAGATTTCACAGCATAATGGTTGAAATGTTTATACGTATATCCGCTGAAGATAAAAGTTGCGAAATGAAAAATAAATGAGATTCATAACACCTCTTGAGCCAGACACTACTTTGGAACAAAAAATGGCTACATCTACAATGTAAGTTTCTGAAAACCTTTTGAGCTGCACATTAAGAGTAAATGCAACTGCACAGAAGCATATTTCACACCACATTAAAAATTAGTTGTTGGTTCACCTGGCATCTGATAGGTCGCATTTGTTACCAGCGATGGCAACCACTATATCTGGAGGGCCGTGCTGGCGAAGCTCTTTCACCCAGTTCTTCAGTGTTTGGAAGGATTCCTGATGACAYAGGCGAGCAACACTTTATACATGAAACATACACAGGTGAGCATCTTATGTGACAGTCTGAGGGGGATTAGATGAGGTAAACACGAGTGGTCATTTGTACCACTCRTGTGAAATACATAATTTTTATTCATGTTTTTTGCTTTTTATTTTTTATGTATTTATGTATGACATTATTCATGCAAAGCATGCAATGAGTTTGTTTCACCTCCCATCCAGTAAGCTTTCTCAAATCTAAACTGGAGTGTGTATGCTTTCAAAATGTATGTGAAACTCAGTTATGTAGCCTAAATTCTCATGTAAATTAAAATACATGCCTCTAACTTTGTAGAATCRTTGGTTCTTAACTTTAGCTAGCAGCTTACACTTCTCAGTCTTGTTAGGCCAATCATTYTCTAACTCAGCCAAACTCACCTGCGGAGTTCCACAGGGTTCCATTCTGGGCCCAATTCTATTCCTGCTCTGCATCCGCCCCCTGACTGAGGTCTTCAMAAATTTTCCCAGTCRTCTCCTACCACTTCTATGCAGATGACCTGCAGCTATACTGCTCCTTTAATGACTCCACCACCCACAAGCTAACCWCTCTCAKAAATTGTGTCACTAAAGTAAACCAGTGGCTGTTTGACAATTAGCTGCTCTTAAACCTTAGTARGACAGAGACCTTGATCCTGGCCCCTGAAAATAAAATCCCTAAGATAAAAGAACATCTCGGCTCCTTGAGTTCAACTGTCCAGCAGAWTGTGCGCAACCTGGGAGTAAATCTTGACTCAGATCTGTCTCTGGGTAAACACATAAAGAATCTGGTTTCCACATGCTACTTTCAGCTTCGGAATATCTCTAAACGTCGGCCCCTGCTGTCTACTTCAGACTTGGAAAWGGTAATTCATGCCTTCATTTCTAGCCGCATAGGCTATTGTAATAGCTTGTTCACCTGCCTAAACCAGTAACAGTTAAATCGCCTTCAGCTTGTCCAAAACTCAGCAGCAAGACTTCTTACTTGAACCTCCAAATTCACCCACATCTCCCTGATCCTAGCAGAACTTCACTGGCTTCCAGTTCAATTCAGAATCMGGTTCAAAATCCTGGTCCTCACTTTCAGAGCTCTTCATGGCCAAGCACCCGAATACATTAAAAGTCTCATTTCCCCTTACAACTCCAGACGGACCTACGCTCACAGTATCAAAATCTCCTTATGGTTTCCCTCACTTGCTTTAAGACCCGTGGTGACCGTGCCTTGTCCTCTGTGGCCCCCAGGCTCTGGAATGAACTCCCTGTTAATCTGCGCCCCGTTGATAACATTSTCTCCTTCAAGAAACACCTGAAAACCCACTTTTTTACTCAAGCGTTTAACTAACCACTCACCATTAATGCCAGCCTACCTCTATAGTGAATGCTCGCCAACTATGTGTTTTTCTATCATTGAACATATGGCATATTTTTCTCTCCCCCATTCTCTGTTTTTTGTATTATTGTATATTTTGCTCTGCGTTGACCGTGCGTCTGAGTTACAATTTTAGAATTTAATCTTGATTTTGGTGTTTCTTTACGTTGCTTATGTTTTATTATGTTTTTTTCTGTTTCGTTTTATCTTTCCACCATTTTTACATTGTCGATGATTGTACAGCACTTTCTGAATATATTTCTGTGAAAGGCGCTTTATAAATAAAACTTTACTTACTGACTGACTGACTGACTTACTTACTGACTTACTTACTTACTAGCATCTTAATAAATCCTCTACTTGAATAACAATGAGAAAATCAGATATAATGTCTGTCTTCAAAGAATTTTAATGATGTTTTGGGTAAAGTTTGTTTTGTTCTATATTCAGTCTTTATCCTGGCCCAGTCATGCTAACTCGTCTATTAACTGCATCTACAAATTTACTAAAAAATGATAGCAGACAGCACTGTGGTGTTGCTTTCTCATATTATTTTATTTTAYWAATTATTTACCTTGTTTTACATTTTAAATAAGATGCGTAGAAACAAGTGCATCAAAACTATAAGAACATGGTTGTGGTTAAGAGTCAAAAGTTAAACTGACCTCTTTTGTGATGTCATAAACAATGATGGCCGCTGCTGAGCCTCTGTAGTACATCGGTGCCAGAGCACGGAACTACGGGAAGATTGAAAAAAGCCATTAGGAGACAAATACTGGTAACAAGTACTGTTCTTCATCAACAGTTTAAAGGAAATAAACAGCAATAGTTTGTCTACAGCTTCATGTCTGCTTAAACTACACTGTTTTAGAATCAAACACCATCAACTGTGAATAAATCTGCAAATTTCAAAATCTTATAAAAATATTAAATGCTGACATCTTTTAAAACCTTCTTGTACTTTCAATTCATTGTTTTGTGTGAAATCAGCACTAAAAATYGACAGCAATACAGTCACACAGGCTGTTAGGCAATGTTGTGCCTTTACATAACCTGTGGATGATCCATTACACAGACACAAACTTGTGGAAATTCCATCATTTGGAGTTTCATTGACTGTAACCAACTCTAAACAGAAAGAAAGACTTAAAACATTGAATACAGAATTGCAGAACCAAAGGCACTGTGTCCTGTAGACGTGAGTCAAAGGGTTGCATTTAAAGTTGAAGCACAGGACTTTTCACCTCACACATGTGAAAGCGATCAGAAGAAAGATGAGCAGAAAGTGTCAAAAACGGTCCACGTGTGGATATTTATGAAGGATCATCGTTTGATCTTAACCCACTACATCACATGGACCTGCTTAATCAAAACAGCATGTGCAAAATTTCTAAATCCAAAGCTGCCTGGGAGTCTCGGACTTTGCCAGGTTTTGGTATTTGCTGGTAAAGCTCTTTGCAGCTCACAGTCAGACCTGGCTTTATCAACAAACCTGTTGTGTTAATATTTGCAACATGGCTGCTTTTTAGCATTTTTGAAAGGAAACAATGGGTTAAAATACTGTTTTTATATCAGTCAGAAGTATTTGATCTTGGCTCATTATTAAACAACTTCAGCACCACACAGATGAGTAAATACTTTCTTTTGCTTCTTTTAGCAGACTGTTTTTTCTCTTTAAAAAAAGAGTAAAGTCCCATTAATTAAGGACTTTGGTTCCAGACATTTGTTTAGCTTTGAGCAAAACAAACCAATATTATTTTTCAAGATTTGCAAATTGCTTTCCATGTACTTTGGAATGGAGCTGTCAGCGGGGTAATAAATTCATGTGTCAAGAAACGACCCTGGTCTCAAAACTTGGAATGACCTCGTCTTTACAATACTTTTTTTAAATTTTCCTTTACAAAAGGAATGAATGAAACGATTCAGCTTGAAGTGACAATGTTACCTCAGAAAAGCACACATTCCACATAATTACAGTTGTTACTGGCCCCAAATCTACCAACAGGAATCCAACTTGGGATATCTGGCAGAGGCACTGAGAAGCGCTCAGTCTGTATTGTTGGCGAGTGTCGGGGTTGCTCCACCGCCAGTCCTGTGTGGTCTATCTGTGTCTTAAAACCCAAGGAGCAATCACACTCAGGCCACACAGAAGCATAGAAAACAAATCTAGTGACACACTGAGAGTGTTGATGAATTGCTGAAACCACAAGCTGGGGGTTTAATGAAATGAGGCCATCTCGCTTCGTGTGGGTAAAAGGTTGCAAATTTGTTTTCTGCAAAAAAWTAAAATAAAATTWAAAAAAGTCAGTCAAGGAAACCTGGATGGATGGATTACACATGATCTTTCAAGGACTTTCCAGTACCAATTTCCTCAAATTCAAGAACCACGCGCAACGACAATTACCTACTGCWACCGCAGAATGTTACCAATAGACAGGTTTAATATGTAAATTCAATAAAAAAACTGAACAACATAGAAGTCGTTGAGTCAGAATCAATGAAAGAAAGTGGATTAAATGTTCACCCTACATTCATATCCACAATACATGGACATGCAATTATGTCCTGGAAGGTTCAGCAGCTCAGTTTGGGATGAGGGGATGTGAACATATCCAGATGCTTGGTGAGGACAGGAGGAGCTGTGGAGCTCTCACCTGGGCTCAGACAGAACGACCCGCCCTACTCTGCTCTAATTTGGTAAAACTATGACTATGGCTCACGTTATTTGTTGAAAGCCACCAGTTTACCGT